TAATGAACATCTTGAGCAGATGAAATATCTTGTCCTCATAAGAGCCATTAGGGATGCACATCTAAGAATTGTCTTGCTCTTCTTAAAACCCCACCATTTGCTTTATGACAATTAATGATTGACAGCTTTTCCTTCCATGAATGTTCTGCATCAGCTTTCAGCTTTGAGCTATTAAGTTGCCCAGTCTCTGGTGCAGAAGAGGTCTGTCATCGTAGCCTGAATCATTCAAACTCTCAGCTACCCAGGGAGCACTGTTCCTCCAACACCTACGCCAACGAGCCTCGAACATCATACTTTTTAGCTGCTTCTCTCACTACAGAGCAAATGCTATTCTCTGTGCTATTCCTTTGTAGCATCAAACATTAAAGGGATTGTTTTCAATAAAACTGCAATATAATTACAAGAGCCTTTCAGATGAGGGGGAAAAAAATATTTGATTATCAGTGATCTGTTCTACCTTTTGAAAAGCTTCGATTAAACTGATGGAGGTTTTTCCTTGATGTCAGTTCCCAAGGGAAATCAACTAGCTCTACAAAGCATTTCATTATGGTTCCCCTGCTAAACTTTGTGTCTTGTATTAACAGACATCTTCAATGACCATGTAGGCTAAATGTGCACTATTTGCTATTTAATCATTATGTATATCGAGAGGTTATTTTGACCTTATACTGTCTACCATAAACATTTAGTATAGTAGATACATTGCACTGTGATTGGGTTGATGGTCTTCAATTTGTTATTACTGTAGATAGGTGGGTATCGTTACATAGCGGAAGGTATAGAGAAGAAGAAGATTAATAAGGATAAGCATACCCCACCTACACATAATAGAGGTGGCAGTATGCTGTCTCTACAAAAAAACAAAACAAAACAAACGGGTGAGTTGTAGACAACGTTGAAGAAAGGAAACTGAAAAATGGATATACTGTAGGTATATTGGTGCAATGTGTAGTCATAGACAAATATAGAAACACATGATTTGAAAACTATATTAAAAACTGCAACAAATACATGGTCTTATCAAATGTAGTTAATACAATACAATACAGCATATGTAACAGCATGGTAGTATTAATTATAGCAAGAGACTAGTAATGGTAGATCCAAACATATATATAGAGAGAGAGAGAATAAAAAGATAGGCTAGACACAGGGGTAGGCAACCTTGGGCACACCAGATGTGGACTATATCTTCCATAATGTTCTTACAGCCATAATGCAGTAATTATGGGTAATGTAGTCCACAACATCTTAAGTGCCAAATGTTGCATACCTCTGAGCTAGAGGCTGCTCCTTAATACTTATCTTCATTTAAGTGCGTAGATTGGCAGTGACTTCCAGGACCTGACTAATGACTAGTAGATCCACCATTTATTGTACGGTAGTGGTATGAATAGGGTGGCAGGAATACACAAAGTCAGGAACAGGAAGAGATAGAAACTGGAATCAAAAACAGTAAAAACAGGCCTGGGCAGAAAATTAAACTTCAAGCATCAGATTTAAAAGGCAGGACAAGCTAGGTAATCGACCAGAATAAAGAGATATAGGGATAAGTTAAGATCCACTAGTTCAGGGGTTCCAAATCCAGTCCTCAAGTACCCCCTAACAGTTCAGGATTTAGGGTCCAAACTGCAATTTGCCAGAATTTGGGTTGATTAGGTGATAGGTCAAATTCACGAACTCCGAGCCGAACTCAAGTCACGAACCTGCCGAAACACCCAACACAGAGCATGTTTATTTTGATATATGATTCTGGATTCCACCTTCGGCGCCGAAAAAAGAGATTATTGATGGAAAAAAAAGAGGACTGATGGCAAGCAGACAGTCATTAAATGTTGATTTAATTTGCAGATCAAGTGAGAAGTGAGCAACAGAGGGAACATCAGGAGGAGGAGTAATCTACATATATTTATATATTATACATTTAATATATAATATATATAGATGTGTTTCCTGGTCCTCCTGTTTTTCCCTCTATTGGCTACATTTTGTCACTTGATCTATGAACCAAATGTCTGGAAAATGCAGATTATATATTTTACAGTACAGTTTGTTTGCCTGGTTTTGGTACCAAAATTCTGTGGGGTCGAAAGGCCAATATTCGGAAGTCCTAAAAAATGTTCTATTTTCGGGGGAAATCGTTTAGCCAAACTGAACCTTTCGCTGTGCATACATCTACTAAATGGGCAAGGAAGACATTTAGGGAGCAGTGGTGACATATGCAGAGGACCTACCTGGTGATAGGTGGCTGGGGAAGTGGGGCCGCTAAATCACACATATCGACTTTACCGATGCAACTGCTTATATCTAAATGTATTATGAAGTATGTACTTTGCAAGTATTTACTTCACTTTATTTCGTTTATTAGCAAAACATGCCTGCTCATATGCCTAATTTAGTTGTGTAACTGAACTCCCCGTACTCCGACCGAGAACCTTCCGTTGATGGACGCTTACTAGCCTGCGCCGAGGACCACAACCACCGCACCGGACACCACAACCACCACAGTCTCCACAACTGCCGTAGCTTAACTGGGGTCTCGCGGTCTTCTGACCACCCTGGATCAGCTTCTGTCCTCCAGGACCGTGTGGGGAAGACCTCTCCTCCAGGAGAGCTTATCAGGAACAAGCTCTTAAAAGAGCTAAGTGATTAAAGCTCAGGGGAGTATGCAGAGCAAAGCAATCGCCAGTGTGAGTATAGCTGTCCCCTCCAATCACAAGACAAGACTACGTGTTGAGGGTCAAAAAGAACTGACTGTACTGGCACATACAGCCTCTTTTATTCACATTCTACAAACATAGTACTGCCCACAGGGTTTTGAATAACAACCAATCAACACATTACAACACAGCTAACACTCCCATTCATTACATCAGAAATCCTCCCCTCTGCCTGTGATACAATTAACTTAATTATCACAGGCAGGAAAATACAGTATTATAAAACATATCACAGGGACCCCAAAACATGAAATAACCCCATATAAAAATATATCCTCGGAACTGGGGGATCTGGGTGAACCACATATCCAAAATTCACCCAGATCCGTTCAGTAGTTTGGACGATACGGTTTAATGCAGATTCCGCAGAACATATACAGGCTATATGAAAAATAATTACTGTTAAATGTGTCCCCTATTTTGTAGTTTAAAACTACTGAATGATGTCTTTGTGCACCAAATACCGGCGAGATGGCACCGTGTAGAAAAGTCAAAACAGTGTCTGTGAGTTAAAATGGCCGCCATCCATTGTTCTCACCATGTGCTTCATCCATTGTTCTCACCATGTGCCTCCACCAGTAACTTGTCTGGTAGTCTATCCAGCCGAACCAACAGATGAAACACATGGGGAACAGTGCAACAAACGAAGGGAATCATAAAAAATATGGACAATAGTCATATTTGTGCACAATCTCCAGTTTTGTCACAGGGCACAAATAGTGTTTTCAAATGCCATTTATCCCAGGGCCATAGTCAGAAGGTAGGAGGCGGGCAAGCACCCCCTCCAAGAACACGTGGCGAGGTCTGTTCCGCCACAAGTTGATATCTGTGCAATTAATATGAAAAACACTAACTGATTTTTATTTTATTGTTGTCAGCATTAGTATTCATCTTGTTTAATTATTTTCAGTTTGTAAAAGGTATTGCCAGGAACTTTTATTTTCTACATTCAGCAATCCTTGCATTATTCCAATGTATTTAATACAAAAAAATTGCTGGGGCTAGCTAACATTTGTCCAAATAGCTGATATGGAAAATTATTTTAATTTCATGCAAAAAGAAAAGAAACCGACTTCAGCCAGCAACGCCAAGATTTCACAAATAAAACTGCCCAATAATAAATATTTATGCATTAAACAAGGAGGACAGAACCTTGGTTCTCCATTTCTGTTGGATTCCCAGAATTCTAATACTTCCAACAATTGGAAGCCTTTGATAACACATAGGTGAAAGAGTTACTGTATGCAAAGATGCAGCATTACTCTTTGGCTTTCAGTTGTTAGCACTTCAGTTCAATGATCCATTTAAGGACCATTACCAGTCAGATTAGGCACAGCAATGAAGCGCCAAGTTGATATCTGATGGGAATATAAATTTCCGAGAATGATGCACACTCTTGCAAACATGCATCATAATTCTTTCTTTGTAGTCTTGGCACATGTGTATTTCAACTTCCTGCCCAGTAGTTTGTACGTGAAATTAGCTTTGTCGAGCAGCAGCAGAGGGAGTGGAATTCCGTTATATCCAGTGTAGAAGAAATCTTTTAACTGTTTTTATTTTTTAGAGCCCATTAAAATACTCATTGATTGTTTCCAGGAATTTCTGTCAAGGGCAAGGACAATGAGACAGCATGTGAACAACAGTGTTGTGTTCTCCTGAACACCCATTATATTATTAAGTATATATCATTAGAATAATTCATAGCACGGTGCAATGAGTGGAGGAGGCACAGGAATAAATTAAACAAGAATAACAGGAGCATGAAATACAGAGGGCTCTGCTCAAACACGTGTAAAGAAGGAGGGTTAAATTACATAAATGTAACTGCAAAGGGCAATCTGTTCAAATAAAAACTGGAGTGATCGGGGTATTAATATTCCCATTCATAATATGTCTGTAAAAATGAATTGACTTGAATAGAGGAGAATGAGGAGTGATTAGTGGAGACAAAGGGTAGATGCCACAGAGTATGTTAACTGGTTAACTGACATGTCATCTTGTAGGAGTATTTTTAAAGCTATTATATTATTTATTATTATTATTATTATTTATATTGCTCCTACCAATTCCACAGTGCTCATTGTGCGGATATAGCAGAAAACAGCTTATAAACTATTTAGCAAGAAACAAGAACTTATAGAGGACTTTATCTTAAAGGACCGTAGTAGGAGAATGTTTAATAAAGTGAAGGAGTTCCATAGGATGGGTGCTGCCCATGAGAAGTCTTGTAGGTGAGAGCTGGGGGTGTGGTTACAAGCAGGAGAAGGCCCTCCTGGCCAGGCCCCTATCCTTTGTGTTCAGTTGTCATGATCCCCCTGAAAACTGAGGAAGGGGGATCATGACAACTGCACACAAAGGATAGGGGCCTGGCCAGGAGGGTCTGGATACAATGTTGCAAGTTGGCAGGCCAATATAAAGAAAAGAATGAGGTGAGATGGTTGAGTGAGGCTAACCTGGTTTTGCTATATCCCTCCAGTGTCTTCTGGTCTGTAGGAGAAGTTAGTGACTGAGTCCTAATCCCCCTCCCATGGAGAGGTGGTGATGGCAGCTTTGGTGTCCAGAGAGACCTTATTGGCCATGATGGCAGCTTACAAGTTTTCACATTGCGTGGAGTCGCTTCAGAAGGTGCTGACTGCAATGCCCAGTTATATGAGAGGACAGCTACTAGAACAGGTCAGGTCATCCACACTGGTTCATGGAGGGAGGGCGAGATGTTCGCGTTCTCCCTCGTTACTAATCCCCAGCCTGCTGAGGAGTAGCGGACATGAAAGGAGGCTGACTCAGCATCAGGACAGTCCAGAAACAGGACTTCAGTCCAGGGCGTTGCAGATTATTTGGTTTGCTGGCAGGTTGCTCACAGAAAAAAATAAAAGATGTGGCCAATGCCCTACCCGATTTAAACTTTTGTCTGTCTTGTTATTGAGTTGGGGCAGTGGTAGGGAGGGTGGTTAATATTCAGTGGGAGTTGGTCAGCAGCCAAGTAGAGGAGTTGATATGGGAAATGCCTGTTTATATATTAGGTCATGTACACTGGGACACTGTTATAATATGCTTTATAGGTAAGAGAGATGATTTTAAATTGAGATTTGTGAGTTGTGGCATATTTCAAAGTGAATAAAATGTGTTTGCAAGTTTACAGATCTGTCTGTTTCCTTTTCCCCGTCACTGGATTCTCAGTGAAATGCACTTTGGGAGATGTTATGATATATTTAATGCTGGGCCTGTAGTTGTGGGAGGGGCTTGGGTCCCCTTTATAAGGGCCACCAATCCTCTCTTACATACAGTTATTGGTCTGGCGAGTTCCCCCTCCCACTACTCCCTGTTTTCACATCACCCTCTAAGGTGGGCCCTCTTTTTTTACAGGTCTAGTGCATTGTCGGTTCTAGCACACCACAATCGCTGGTGTTATTAAATATGATATTTACTACGATTTATGTATTACCTAACTCTTACGGCAATATTGCCTCGACCACAAATAAATATACAGTCATGGGAAAAAGGAAGTACACCCTTTATGAATTATATGGCTTTACATATCAAGGCATAATAACAATCATCTGTTCCCTAGCATGTCTTAATAGTAGGTAAATGGAGAAGCCACGAATGAAAAACTAAGCACACCTTATGATTCCAAAGCGTGTAGAGCCAACTTTAGCATCAATAACATGACATAATCGTTTTCTTTATGACTATCAGTCTCTCCCATCCTTGTGGCAGAATTTTGGCCCGCTCTTCTTTACCATGTTGCTTGAGTTCATTGAGGTTTGCTGGCATTTGTTTATGCACAGCTCTTAAGGTCCTGCCACAGCATTTTCGATTGGGTTGAGGTCTGGACTTTGACTGAGCCATTGCACAACCTTGATTATTTTCTTTTTCAGCCATTGTGTTGTATATTTGCTGGTTGCTTGGGATCATTGTTCTGTTACATGACCCAATTTCAAACAAGCTTTAGCTGTCGGATAGATGGCCTCACATTCTAATCTAGAATACTGTGATATAAAGAGGACTGCAATGTTTTCAGGTCCTGTGGCAGCAAAATAAGCCAAACTCATCACTCCTCCACCACCATGCTTGATAGTTGGTATGTGGTGGTTTTGCTGATATGCTGTGTTTAGGTTTCGCCAAACTTGGCACTGTGTTCCACTTTGGCCTTGTCTGTCCAACTGACATTTTTTCAGTAGTCTTGTGGTTTGTTCACCACCTAAACCATGCTGCCATGTTCTTTTCAGAGAGAAGAGCCTTTCTCCTGGCAACCCTTTCAAACAAACCATACCTTGTTTTCAGTCTTTTTCTAATTACACTGTCGTGATCTTTAATATTGAACACCCTTACTGAGCCCTGTAGAGTCTGAGATGTAGTTTTTTTTGCAATTTCTCTGAGCGTTGCAGGGTCTGACCTTTTCACAGTCTGACCTTGATGTGAATTTGCTGACACGTCCACTCCTGGGAAGATTGGCAACTGTCTTGAATGTTTTCAGTTTTTGAATAATCTTTCCCACTGTAGATTGATGGACTTTAAATTGTTTGGAAATAGTCTTATAACCCTTCCCAGTTTGATGGGCAGCAACAATTGCTTCTCTAAGATCATTGCTGACGTCTTTCCTCCTTGGCATCATGTCAACACATAGAGGTGGTCACACTTGACGATGATCAATTAATCAAGGACATATGATTAGTAGCACCTGTCTGCTACTTAGTGTCTTAATTCATATGGAAACACACATCATCTGGAGTAAAAAATAGTGCTCAGTAGTACAAGAGATAAAGTGTAACACTACTTAGCACTTTTTTTTCAACTCCTGATGAAGTCTATAGTTACTAGACGAAACGCATAGAGTGAGTTTTTTAATTGTTATTATTTTTTATTGTTTTGTATGCTGTTATTTTTGCCTACAACACCTGTGTGGACCCCTATACTTCACACTACCAAGATTAGGACTGGGGAATACAGAGTTTTTTATTTTCTAACCATTAAAGTATGTGATTTAATTTTATATCAGCGTTGCACTGTTACTTTATATCTCTTTACATGCATTAGTGGACATCTGAACACTGCTGGATCTGTGGGGTTCTACATATTCTTGTCGAGCCTGAATTTTCTGCTACTCTGTGAGTGCAACCTTGAAAACTGGCGTTTATTACAATTAACGTTATTACCCTATGAGCTTTTCCTTCTCTGTTCATGTTCTTAGGTATACCCTGTTTTTACTCCATTCACCGTGTCAGTTCACAGGTTATGGTGCAAGGAGACTCACTCTCTCTGTTCCATCTGATACTTAATAGTATCTGCAGAGATTTGGAAATAGTAGAGCTCACCTTGTTCAACTGCAGAAAACATATTCTTCAGTCTGGCCATGCAAAGTCATGTACAGCGTGAGGACATCATGCAAGTCCCAACTAACCTGTGGATTCTGTTTTAGATTTGCATGAGAGATCCTGTACTGAAAGTCTGTTTCTGATCAACTTAAAATATCTTCATCCATGACCATGACCAATAACATGAATGAAGCTATTTGGCAAGTCAGTAGAAACTGCACTGAACTTTCTATTAGTTGCAGAGTCATTTTTTATTTTTTTATTTGAATATTTTTACGAAGGAAACTACATGCATATGCTGAAACTCTAATCCTATAAACCCATGCTGAAAGATAGCTTATAAGATATACAAAGGGACACTATTGAATTAAAATGTGTTAATTTGCACACATAGGGCTTGGGTGCAGCCTTGTCACAAATAGCTGCTGTAAGCTTGTAATGCTACAAAAAATACCACAAGGTTTCCATTTGCTAAATATTTGCACAATATCACTATTAACAGCTACAGATACCAACCACTTGTATATGAGCAGGTTGATGGTAAAGCACAGAAACACACACATTCACATTTCACCCTCTGTGGCAAGTAGGCCAGGAAAGTAGCAGTTGGCTGGTAAAATTTGGCAACAGGATCGGAACCCGACTTTTTGATTCAACACAATGTTAAGGGTGTTAACCCCTTTACTGCTGTCATTAGGCCCAGACTGGCCATCTGCTGTGTGCCTTGATGGGCTGATGAGGGAGATCAAAGATTTGAGATAGGATAGGATATGAACTGAGAAATGAGTGTCCGATAGGGCTAATATGCAAGTGTTTATATGGCACCTTATACGCGTATGACAGTTAAATGTAAAGGGCCTGTAAATACAATATACAGTGACGTCACTAGGGTTGGTGTCACCTGATGTGGTAACACACGATATCACCCCAAACCCCTTAATAATGTGTAAGCTTTTGGGGTTCTGGTGACTACAGTGTCCCTTTAATGTGAGGTAAAATAGAGATTAGTGCCACTAATAATATACTGGATTGCCTACTTACCACCAGATGAGGACAAGAGGACAATGATGGGCTCAATCTGCAGTTTGGCTCCACTGGTCTAGTGTAGAAAACATTCCCTGGAGGCTGTTTGTAACAGTGCTCACAAAAATCAACAAACAGGAAGCAGCTCCATTTTTTGGGCCCTTTACACAGCTCAATGTCTGGGTCCCCAGGGCCTGACCATAAGTATGCCTACATGATGCTATACACCCAAAGTTATTAAAATAACTTAGTGGTATACTAGCAAAACCATTAACAGGTTTCTTTAACCAGTCATTGTTAACAGTAGTAGTCCCAGAAGATTGGAAGTTAGCGAATGTTGGGCTTATTCACAAGAAAAGTAGTAAGGAGGAGTCGGGCAACTATAGGCCAGTAAGCTTTACTTCAGTAGTGGGAAAAGTGATGGAAACCATGTTAAAGGATAGGATTGTTGAACATCTAAAAACACATGGATTTCAAGATCAGAGACAACATGGGTTTACTTCAGGGAGATCATGCCAAACTAATCTTATTGATTTTTTTGATTGGGTAACTAAAATAATAGATCAGGGTGGTGCAGTAGACATTGCTTACCTAGATTTCAGTAAGGCTTTTGACACTGTTCCACATAGAAGGCTCATCAATAAACTGCAATCTTTAAGTTTGGATTCCAATATTGTTGAATGGGTTAGGCAGTGGCTGAATGGCAGGCAACAGAGGGTTGTCGTCAATGGGGTATGTTCAAAGCAAGGTCTTGTTACCAGTGGGGTACCTCAGGGATCTGTACTTGGACCCACCCTCTATGCATCCCAAATCTCCCTCACTGGTACATTGGTAGTATCGTCATGTCTGCCACACTTCATCATGTTTGTGAAGGCAGCCTTTAACCCCTTAAGGACCAAACTTCTGGAATAAAAGGGAATCATGACATGTCACACGTCATGTGTCCTTGAGGGGTTAAGCATAGCTGTGTCTGCTTCACATTTCCGCTCGTGAAATTCTACATCTTGGGAACAGTAGAGACAATTTG